GTCTAACTTCCTTAATATGCTATTACAAACACAAGATTAAGGTTCTTTTTTTTTTACTCTTTTTTCTTCCTCCTCCATTCTTTATATATTACATATCATATTCTGTACTCTTCATCTATCCCTTGATTGACTTTGGGGGTAGGTTGTTTAATTTTGCATTTGCTTAGTAATTAGCTTTTCTACTTTCTTTACTGTGGTTTTATTACCTCTGGTGACAGCTATTAAACCTTAGGAACACTGCATCTATAGCCATCCCTCCAAAATAGACTGTAGAGATGGGTTATTGGAGGTAAATTCTCTCAGCTTTTGCTTGTCTGGAAATTGTTTAATCCCTCCTTCAAATTTAAATAATCATCTGCCAGATAAACTAATATTGGTTCAAGGCCCTTCTGCTTCATGCATTAAATACATCATACCACTCCCTTCTGGAATGTAATGTGTCTGCTGAGAAGTCTGATGATAGCCTGATGGGCTTTCCTTTGTACGTGATCTTATTTATCTGTCTGGCTGCTTTTAATAGTCTGTACTTATCCTTGATCTTTGCCATTTTAATTACTATATGTCTTGGTGTTGTCTTCCTTGGGTCCCTTGTGTTGGGAGATCTGTGCATCTCAATGGCCTGAGAGACTATTTCCTTCCCTAATTGGGGAAGTTTTTGGCAATTACCTCCTCAAAGACACTTTCTATCCTTTTTCTCTCATCTTCTTCTGGTACCCCTATAATGTGAATATTGTTCCATTTGGATTGGTCACACGGTTCTCTCAATATTCTTTCATTGTTAGAGATCCTTTTTTCTGTCTGTGCTTCAGCTTCTTTGTATGCTCTTCTCTAATTTCTATTTCATTTATCTTCTCCACCGTATCTAATCTGCTTATAATACCTTCCATTGAGCTCTTCAATGATTGGATCTCCAACCTGAATTCATTCATGAGTTCTTGAATATCTTTCTGTACCTCCATGAGCATGTTAATGATTTTTATTTCGAACTCCCTTTCAGGAAGATTCATGAGGTCCATGTAATTTGAATCTTTCTCAGAATCCTGAATATTCTTATAATAGCATCTAGAAGGGTGAATCCTGTTCAGAAGATTTGCAGTTTCCTAAGCCCAGATCCATGAGGGGCATCACTACCTATGGCAGCTGTACCTTTATGAAATGTGCTTCTCCTATATGAATACTGAAAATCCAAATCACTTTTGAAAATATGGGCTGCATCCATTGGATGTGTAAGCAGCCTGCAAACTTTCATATTATTTTACACCTCCATCAGAACTCTTAGGTGACCAGGTGCATTGTGAGGAAGAAGTAAAATTTGGAAGGAATCCTTTTTTGAGCAGTGGCTCTCAACAGAGGATTTCAAATATTCAGTAAACTGTGTTACAGAGAGGTACAGTTATCCAGGCTTTGAGTTTCCATTTAGGGAGCACAGGCAGCAAATTTTAGTCTAATTTCCAGGACCCTAGGGTTTTCAGAATGGCAAATGGGCATGGGCTTGAACGTAAAGTCACCAGCTGCATTAGCCCCTCACAAGAGAGCCAGCCTGTCCTCTGAAGGTTTGCAAACGGACTGCCTTCCGATCTCCAGCTATCACGGTCCTAGATGACATCTTCCAATGCAAGGCTGCCTTGTCTACACTACAAGCCTGTTGTTTAGTGTACCCCCTCGTCAGCGATCGCAGCTGGAACTTGTCGGAAAAGATCTTGTGCCGCTTCACCATCAGCACTGCTCCTTTCCCTGCACTTTTATGTTACAGAGGTGGTTCCTCTCCTTAAACTGCATCAGGCAACCTCTGCCGGCTTCAGCCCTTTCTTCTGCAGCTTCCTCACATCTCTGAGCTCCGTAGGATTGGAGAGACTGAGGGTCTCGCTCTGGGTCAGGCTTTCGTCTTAGGGAATGTTGTGGCTGGTTTGGTCTCCTGTCCAGACCAGCGAAACTTTCCCCATATCGTCCACACGCTGTTTCATCTTTTCAAATGGGGGCTCAGTGGAGGAGCACTGCTGCCCTCATGAACCTTTTCTGTGTGTTCATACCTAGAGAACTGGGCTCAGTCTTCAGTGAAAAGGGCTCGTTCTCAGCCCATCTTGGCCTCTGACATGCCCTCCTCCCTCAGCTGAATCTTCTCTATCTTTTCATATAACAGGAGAGACAGGTGACCTTTAACTGGAACACTTAGAGGCCACTGTCGGGTAACCCATTGGCCTTATTTGTACATTGCTGTGTGTGAGGGGACAGGGAGGCCTGAGCAGAGGGAGAGGGACGGGACCGCCAGTGAGCACAGCCCTCGGGACGCCCCCTGATGGACTCTGCCATCTCGTGGGTGCAGTGAGGGGGCACCCAAAGCACTACAGTGGCAACATCAAAGATCACCGGTCACCTAACAAATAGGAGAACGATGAAAAGTGTGAAATAACGTGAGAATTGCCAAATGTGTCCCAGAGGCATGAGTGAGCCAGTGCTGTAGGGAAAGTGGTGCCAGTGGACTTGCTCAGTGCAGAGCGGCCACACACCTTCAATTTCTAAGAGACACAGAATCTGTAAAGCATCATAAAATTTATTCTGCCCCTGCATTGTTGCATTTTAAGAAATGTCTGTGCACACGTTACTTCTCGGGATTTGGAGGACGTTTCTGTAACGCCCCTCATGCCCCTTCATGTGAGGCATCAGCCCAGAGGCTGTCAGAGAGGCTCACCAAACGTTAGCAGATGGAGTCCTGCAGCACATGCACAGGATCATATACTCTAGCCACGTGGAGTTCATGCCCAAGAGGGGACAGAGCCTTAATGTCCTGAAGCCAGACAGAGTTGTCTTGCCAGTGGGTTCCAGCCTTGGGCAAGTTCGCTATGGATTTAGTGTGACCAACAAAATGACAGTAGAACGTTCAGAGGGCAAAAGGGTTTATTACTGGCATGTTCTCCCACGGTAGGTAGTGCGTCTCTGCCTCCACCCAGAGCCCTGGGCCAGGTTCTCTATGTAGCACAATAATAGCTTACTGCCTACGGGTGGGAAGCAGTAGCCTAGCAACAGGCCAATAACATCACCAAGTGGTTTAAGTTCAGTGAGGATCCCGGCCATAGGAGCCCCGGCTTCCCCACAGAGTGAATGGGGAAATTCATATCTCGTCTTAATTGATGCAGAACAAATAAATGATCAGTTTTCCCACCTGTTTGTGACACATTCTCAGTACATGAGGAATGGAAGAAACTTCCTCACTGTAACAGAGGGCATGGTTGGATGGTAACGTGCTCTTCTGTAAGATCAGGGACGAGCATTCACGTCCAGCCTTCCGCACCCTCACTCAGCATTATGCTAGAATATCCAGCTGGTCTGTCAAGGCAAACAAGGAAAAAGAGGCATAAGTGTTGAGAAAAAAAGTTAAACTTTCTATATTCTCAGAATACATTGTTCCGTACCTGGAAAATATCCTAAGGGATCTATCATAAAACTGCTTGTATTAAAGGAATTTAGAACTTCACAAGACATCAAAATCAGGTTTTAAAGATCGCTTGTATTTCTGTAACCTGGCAACATATAATCAGAAGGGGAAATAAATGTGACTTACACTGTGGAGAACATAAAATATTTAAACTTCTGAAAGTAAATATATGAAAATAACATTGTGACTTTTGAGTAGACAAAGATGCAACAGATGGGATATAAAAGACTGTTAATTATTGGTATAAAAAGTGTATATAAAGAAATCAAGAACAAAATTTTTTATGCTTTTTGACTTCCTGCATAGAACGTATGGAATTTCAGTGCTTTTCCTTTCTGACCAGTTCTACACGATAAGTTTTGTTAAGTTTCTCTAAGGTAATAAGCCTAGTATTTCAAAGGTAAGGCTCCTACTGCCTTCCAGCTCACGGATTCTCTCTTCACCAGGTGGTCACTTTGTTTATTCTCTGGCTTCACTCTTAACCCCATGGCTATATTTTTCTGTTGGGAAAACGTTCTAATGACATCTTTAAGCCAGTCACTTTGTTTGAAAATTAAACAACCGTATTGAATGAACCTCCGTGGACCTGTTGCCCATCTGTAATGACACCATGTGACACCATATTGTTTAATGACTCTTCAGTGTCACCTTCCAACCGGCTCGTGTTCAGATCACACTGACTCCCAGTAAAGTGCCCCACAGGTGCTTTGCTGCACCAGGACCCAGATGGCAGCGGCTCCCGCACGTGAGGCCGACTCTGTGTCTTAGGGCTTCTTGTTCACCACAGCGCAGCCGCCTCCCGTGCTGATGGTGCGTTGAGATACTGGGAACTGTTCCAATCCTGATTTCTCAGCTGGGCCCCAGCCTTGGCCCCCGACCTTGGGTGTATGAGGGGAGGAGGCAGGCCAGGCGCTGTGAGAAGCAGTCCTGGGGGGAAGCCTCTGCCCGCTCACCTCTGATCAGAAACCCCCGAGGCCTCCACAGTGTGACCTTCCATTAGCTCCCTGGACACAGGCTGCCACACCCCCAAATGGGGGAGGTTGGTCTGGGGGGTGAGCTGGCTGGCTGCGGTTTCCCTGGGGTGGGATATTGCCTCTATACCGGGTACCCCCCCACATTACCTGCCCATGGCTCCCCTGGGCTTCAGCATGAGGTTAGCAGCATGCTGTGCATCCTGCCAACGCCATGTACCGGTGTCCTCTGGTCTGCGCCCTTTGGTTACGTAAGCATATGGAGCCTGAGGCTGGGAGAGGCGCTAGAGCCGTCATGAGGCCCCCTGGAGCTCTGGGCCCTGACCTGAGAGGCAGGAGCTCCCCTGGGGAGTCCCAAGGCCGTCTCTCACTCAGCGCGGTAAGAAATCCTCACTCAGCTCCCGTGGCACTGAAGCCTCTTGCCCAGGCCCCAGCGTGGAGCTGCGCCAGCAGGTAGCCTGGCTCCCTCTGCCCCTGTCAGGACCCTGGAGGTGGCCGTGCTGGTGCCCGTGACTGCTCCCCACTGCGAGTATCAGCCCTGCCTCACATGGGAGAGGAGCACCCAGGCACCCTCTTACTCTCTTCCCTCCCCACAGAGCAGCCCTCCGAGGGCTTCCCTTCCCCATGGAGAGCAGGAAGGCGGCTCTGGGACCCTGGAAGGCCGGCAGAGAGGTGAGACGTACCAGATGTCCCATCTTTGCCATCACAGGACGGTCCCATCCCTTCACTTGCCTGGTGGCTGCCTCGGTACAGGGCCAAGGCAGCAGCCGTCCAGGGGATGTGACCTGCTGATCAGCCGCAGTGGAATGAGGCAGGTCCTCGGGCTGGGGAGGAGGGCAGACGTGCTGTCCATCTCAGGCTGCCCCTGGGAACCACTGCCTGCAGTTTGGAAGGTCTGGCACCCAGTCGTCGCCTGCAAAGCTGGGGGATGGATGCAGCCCCCGTGCCCGCACGTGGCCAGGCTGTGGCTCGCAGCCTCCTGGTGAGCAGGCCTGGGTTTGTGTTGTATAGGCTTTTGTGACGTTTGAGGATGTGGCTGTGGATTTCACGCAGAAGGAATGGGAGCTGCTGAGCCCTGCGCAGAGGACCCTGTACAGACACGTGATGCTGGAGAACTTCAGCCACCTGGTGTCGCTGGGTGAGCGGGGGCTCCCCTCAGGGCTGTTTTGCATCCTTTGAACCTTACTCTCCCTGGGGTCCCACTGAGAAGCAGGTGCTCAGCTTCCTGCTCCCCTGGGGATGGGCGGGGGCTGTGTACCTCTGGGAGTGCTGCCAGCGCGAACACAGCCTGGAATGCATTTGTCCCAGCTCCTTCCCATCACCCCGGTCTTCCACCCCCCACCCCCCCAGTCTGGGTCCTGCAGATAGTCCTCCCAGCCTACAACCAAGAGTCATCTCCTTTTTCCCACTAAGCAGGAATTCACTGTTCTAAACCGGAACTCATCACGTGGCTGGAGCGAGGGAAAGAGCCCTGGAGGGAAGAGAGGAGACACCGGCCAGGCCCTGGTCCAGGTGAGGGGAGCCTCTGGGTGGACACTGGCCTTCGGCTCTGCAGGGCGGGGGCGGCTGCTCAGAGGCCCTGGCAGGAAGCTGTCCTCCCGCACTGTGGCTGCTGAGGCTGCCTGGCCCTGCCTCCCTCCCACCCCATCATCTTGGATGAGTGAGGGGGTGTCCTGGGTGCCCAGACACCTTCCGACTGCAGGAAGCCCTCCTTCTCCACAGCAGGCTTTCCCACTGTGGCCTTGCTGACCCGGCTCTCTGAGGCAGCAGTGGGGTGTCTTTTCTTTGTTAGTGTCCTGCAGGGCCCTGTGTTTCCCGTCTTCCACCTCTTCTTCTCACCACTTGTGTCCGGGGCCACTTCTCCTTTCTTTCCCCTATTGTGCCCCAGAGGCACTGCCTTCGGGGGGCTGCTGTCTGGAGGTGGGCACCATGGGGACTGCTTGTCACGGTTCTTTCTCCTGTCACCTGGACGTGCTGTCTTGGAGCAATGGGGGTTCCCCTTTGGGCCCCCTGTTCCCGTCTCCTGTGTGCCCAGTACTTCCTGGGCCTCCCTCCCCCAGGCCCTTGTGGTGGGATCATGGGAGATTCTGCTGAGATCTGATGCCCCTTCCTTGGCTGTGGACAAGTGTGAATTTGTGGGGTGTCTTCTGGTTATGCTGAGGGTGTTGGTTTTCGGCTTCGTCTGTCCTTCCTGATCCCTAGGCCCCTCTTGGGGAGCGTGGTAGCCGACTCACGTTGAGGTGGCTGCCATTGCCATGTGCTTGGAAGTCCCCTTGTGTCCTGCTGCAGGAATCCTCGCTGAGCCTCGGCCGCGAACACATCCTGTAGATTGTTGTCGTTCCTCAGCTCATAAGTCTTTACCAGTTTGTTTGGCAGGAGTCGGTCAGTTTGTACTGTCCGTCCTGCATTTGAGAGACGCATTTTAAGTCCTCTATCGTATGACATCTATTGTATTTCTCCCCAATGAGTCCATCTGTCCCTGTGTGATCATGGTCAGTTTGTTAGTGCCTCGTTCTTTGTGTACAGGCGACCTGACGTGAAATAGCCCTGATCTGATGAGCTCTGTGGGCCTGTCTCCCAGCTCCACTCTCTGGGGGGCAGTCCTGCTCCTCCCTCTCACCCTCTTCTCCCCCTGCTGGATTATTTTGAAGCAAGTCTTAGTCATCCCATCATTTCATCTGCATATCTACTAATACTTAACCCTGTTCTGATCTCGTTACTGGTTAATTAGATCTCTTCATGATATCAGTAACCATCATGGACAACAGCCCCCCTTTATGATACCATGAAGGCACTACTCCCGGAAAAACACATGGCGGTGGTGTTGGGACAGTGGGCTTGGGGTGGGTGAAGGAGTCACACAGGATGGACAACAGAGGTCTCTGTAGTGACGTTTGAGCAGAACTCAGAGGAATGAAACCAATAAGCTAAACATTTATGTGTGGGTGTATTTGATTTTCTTTCTGTCAAGTCAGGAAAGAACTTTGCTCAAGATAAAAAAGAAAGCTCAGTCAGTGTCAGCTGGAGTGAACGAGTCAGAAAGTGGGAAGAAGTGAGGTCTGAGGAGCGGAGATGGGGTATAGGGCCCTGAATTCCATGCTAATATGTAGTCCATGTGATGGGAAGTCCCTGGATTGTGTACACCAAAAATGACATCTGATGAATATATTTTTAATTGAAGTATAATGGGCATACAATATCCAATTAGTTTCAGGTGTGATTAGTTTCAGTTTCACAGTGATTCATTGTTATGCTTTGTAAAATGATCCCCAAGATAACTCATTACCATCTGTCATTTCCAAGTTATTGTAACATTATTGACTATATTGTCTTAGGTGTATAACACATCCCCATGACTTACTTATTTTATGATAATGTTTGTACCTATCCGCTTCATCTTGGTTTGCCTGCCCCTCCCCCACCCACCTTTGGTATCCATCAGTTTCCATATCTGTTGCTCTGTTTCTGGTTTTCAGATCCCACATATAAGTGATACCATGCAGTGTTTGTCTTTCTGTCTTATTTGACTTAGACTAATACACTCAGGATATATCCATGTTGTCACATAAGCAAGATTTCTTTTTTTTGCCTTTTATGTTTTGTTTATTTTGTGTAACTATTATGTACCAGACATGGTACTACATGTTTTTTGCACTGGCATCTCATTTTACATTTTCAGCCACATTGTGATGTGAATATCATTGTCTCACGTTACAAGTAAATAAACCACAGCCAAGGGACGTTAATGAGATTCTAAGTTGCCTTATCCTAGATGCACTTGTGTCTTCAGAATCAGATCTCTGAAGGTGAAATCTACATCAGGCTTTGTTCTACAATTGTACAGTGATAAATGACAAAGGAGATTAAAGCTGCTCGTGCACATTAAAGTACACAAACGTATGTGCACAAGCATATATACATCTATAAATATAATGCATATATATCTGTCCCAATCCTTTTTTTGCAATTTGAACTATACTTGGAAAACAAAAGAAACAAAACTATTGTTTGCTTGAGAAGTTCTTGACTATGCTGGGCTGAGGAATCTCTGCACTTTGCTTGCATTATCTCACTGCATCTTTACAACAATTATATGAAGGATTAAGAGTATTTCTACTTCTTGGACAAGGCCCTGAGAGGTTAAGCAATACCCCTGAGGTCTCACAGGGGAAATGTGAGTGCAGCCCTGAGCTCAAAGCCTTCAGTCTTAGTGACTGCTTATAATCTCTCCTCAAATCACATGCCATATAAGGGCTGGGGCCACAGACTCTGGCATCACCAAAATTCTACTCTAAGCTAATTAGTAACATGTAGGAGATACTGTCTTCTCCCTCCTCAGTTGGGAAACACACCTCCCCTGTAAAGCAAATTAGATTGGGTGGGGTGGTGGATGACATTTTAGTGACTGGTAGTTAAACATGGGGAAGGGATTGGGATGGGCGGGTAAAATAGGTGAAGGGGTAAGAAGTACAAAATCTCAATGATAATATAAATTAGTCATGGGGATGGAAGTACAGCACAGTGAATATAGTCAGTTCTGTAACATCTTTCTGTGTTGACAGATAATAACTGCATGCATTGGTGTATATAAATTGAATCACTAGGTCATATACTTGAAGCCAGTATTTACTGTACATCAACTATGCTTCAATAAAAATAAATAAATAATAAATCCGCTTAGCCCCGCCCAATGCCTGGGCAGTAAACTTTCAAGAAATGTACAATTCAGTTTTATCCACACTATATAGAATTATTGCAAAGCAAGAATCAGACTTTAGACCTCTGTGCTCTATCTGGAAGACAATATTTTCATTATCTTTTATGAAAACCAATCTGTTCTTAAAGGTGCCAGCACAGGGCTTCATAGAGAACCCTGAACCTGAACAAGCACCTGTGCTCATACAGTCAGGTTCAACTCCATGATGGTGTGATGTCAAGGTTCTTCCCAGGGTATAGCTCCCAGAGATGGTGGCTGAGTAGGGTCATATTCTGCTAGTTGGCTATCCAATGTCTGTTCAACTCTTCGTTCTTACTAGTGGAATTCCAGCAGTGGACTAACCAGTTTCCTTTCTCTTGGCCCTGTCCCTTGCTTGGGCAGCATTGCTCTCATGTGGAGTACTGCAAGTGTCTTTTGAATATCCCAGGCTCCGGGCAGGCCTTTAACAGTCTGTCTACTTTCCAGGTTATTCAGGTATGTCCTGGCCAGTGGGGATGCCTCCACTATGATTGGATCACACCCAGGCTCCTCCCCTGCCCTGCATGGCTGAGCTCCAAGCTGCCTATGCAGTCTCTCTCTCTACTGTTCCTACAAATAACATGAGCTGATTTGTCCTTCCTTGTCCTCCAAATCCACTCTGGACTTTTTATGTTTTTCATTAAGGTATTGAGATACACTCTTTAGAAGGTTTCACAAGAAAAACAATGTGGTTATTACATCCATCCTTATTATTGAGTGCCCCCCCCCCATGATTTCATTCCTTTTTAAGGCTCAGTGGGATTTATAATGTAGTTGATACTCTAGTTATAGTTTAGGAAACAGACTATGGAGCAAATCCTTTTCTAGTGTGTATGTTCGTCTCTCTAAGTGAAAATATAAGCTTCCAACTAGATGGAAGAGCAGGGCCTGGGAGGGGAACCTTTATGGGAGGTGGTGGCATTTGTGTTGTGTGCTGGCCCAGGCTGCTTCACCTGTGACCATCCTGATGGGGCACTTTTCCTCTTCAGCAGAAGCAAAGCCAGGAATCCATCTCTGTCCCTGCTGCCCACTGTACTTCAGCAGTCAGCACATCCTCATCAGGCACACGATTCACGACCATTCTGCTCAGATGTCTGCAGGTGCACGTGCAACAAATTACTCACAGCCAAGGAGTCTTGGCCTGGAGCACCAGGAACAAGACCAGGAAGAACTCTCTCATCAGAGTGACCAGAGTGATAGGGTAGAAGGTCAAGAGAGAGAAGAAAACTCCCAGACCTTGTTGGGGAGGGGGAGTCAGACCTCAGGGGCATCTGCCAGCCCACACCCCACACAGGCAGTAAGTCTGGGGCAAAGGAACACAGTGGTGGAAATAGATGGCAGCCAGGCCCAGAGGGGAAATCCTAAAGAAACAGGCAAAGTATTAAAAGGAAAAGAGAATTCAAGATGGGAAGCATTCAGATGTGCAGAGTGTGGGCAGTGCTTTAATCAGAAGACAAAGCTGCTTGATCACAGAAAAGCATACCATGGACAGAATCTTTTAACATGCAGGGAGTGTGGACAGGACTTTACTGATAAGTCAGCACTATTCTCACACCAGAAGACTCACCCAGGAGAGATTTCATATATGTGCAGGGAGGGTGGGCTAGAATTCCTCACTAAATCAAACCTCAGAACACACAGGAGGTCACACTCAGGGGAAAAGCCTTTTGTGTGCAAGGAGTGTGGGCAAGTCTTTACCCAAAAATCATCCCTGCTCTCCCACCAGTGGAAACATTCAGGTGAGAAGCCTTTTGAGTGCAGATACTGTGGACAAAATTTTCGCTGGGGACCAAATCTCGTGAGACATGAGAAGACACACTCAGGGGAGAAGCCTTTTGTGTGCAAGGAGTGTGGGCAAGGCTTTATCCGAAAAGCATCGCTGATCTCCCACCAGTGGAAACACTCAGGGGAGAAGCCTCTGTTGTGCAGATACTGTGGACAAGGGTTTAGCTGGAAGTCAAACCTTCGGAGACATCAGAGGACACACTCAGAGGAGAAGCCTTTTGTGTGCAAGGAGTGTGGGCAAGGCTTTATCCAAAAATCATCCCTGATCTCCCACCAGTGGAAACACTCAGGGGAGAAGCCTTTTGTGTGCAGCTCTTGTGGGCGAAGTTTTAGCTGGAAGTCAGATCTGCTGAGACATCAGAAGACACACTCAGGGGAGAAGCCTTTTGTGTGCAGGTTTTGTAGGCGAAGTTTTAGATTGAAGGCACATCTCTTAAGACATCAGAAAACACACTCAGGGGACAAGTCTTTTCTGTGCAAAGAGTGTGGGCAAGGCTTTATTCAAAAACCATGCCTGAACTTCCACCAGAGGACACACTCAAAAGAGAAGCCATGTGTGTGCAAAGACTGTGGGCAAAGCTTTATCAGAAAATCAATGCTCATATCGCACCAGAGAAAACACTCAGGGGAGAAGCCTTTTTGTTCAAGGAGTGTAGGTAAGGCTTTTTCCAAAGATCAATCCTGATACCCCATGAGTTGAAACACTCAGAGGAGAAGACTGTGGTGTGCAAGGAGTATGGGCAAGGCTTTAGCTGAAAATCACCTGTGCTCTTCCACTATAGGAAACACTAGGGAAAATCGGTATGCTTGTAGTGAGCATGGGCAAAGATTTGGAAGTCAAGCATCAGGTGCAAGGAGTGTGGGTGAGTCTGTACCAATGAGTCTGACCTTATCATGTGTGAGAAAATACACTCAAGAGAAACCTATAAAATGCCAGGAGATCAGCCACTGGAGTTTCAAGTCCTACAACAGTAGGTAGGCAGTGGCACCCCTAGGAGAGAAGCAGTTGTGTGGGGAATGTGCACAAGGCCTCACTGGACAGTCATCCCTCCCCTGGCCCCAGTGCACACATGGAGGAAAGAGCATGTGTGATGTGTGTGCTGCAGAGTGAGAAAGATGAGCCATAATCACAGTGGGAATCAGAGGTTCCACTCAGCAGGAAAGAACTTTTGTGTGGACAGTGTGGTCAAAGCATTAGTTAGAAGTCAACAGACATAGAAAAACTAGTCACCACCTCTCACCTACTCATCCAAGATCCAGAGAAACTTTAGGAGCCCCTTGACTACAAATGTATAAATAGCAGTTACTGCAGTTTCTCTTAAGGAAAGGATCAAGTGGCAGACATATCAAGGCATGATATGTCCTTGCTCACAGATATACCATGCAATCATAGGGGGTCCAGAGGGTTCCTTCAAAGTGGCCAGTTTCCCAAACAGGAAAGTAAGTCCCAATGATCTTGAATATTGCAGATGCTGAGACTTGAGGTCCACTTTTGAGAAACATACCAGGGAAGGGGAGGTAATCACCCAAGCTCTTGGGGAAATGTAGTCTCTCTCCTTCCAACTGGGTCTCATGCCCGGCGGCTTCACATGGGCTGCTGAGCCAGTGACAGCAGCCCAGGAATCAGGGAAGTCCTGTTGCTGACACGTCCGGGAGGCTACACAGAAGTCTGGGGCATTTCCACTGAGCACTCCTCTTGCCTGCTCCATCCCCATCTTCTCACGCACAATCTCTAAATAAAAGTCGTTTTGTTTAGTTCTGTCTCAGTGTCTCCTTTGCAGACAGCCCTGATACAAGAGGTACCCAGAACAGCCTGACAACATGGGTAGGAAAATAGGGGAATGGCTCCCTGCCTGGTTGGTAAAAGGGGAAGTTGGTGCGTGGGTACAGGTAGGCACTCAGCTCTGTTTTCCAAGTTCCCTGGGAAATGCCCTGGTGGAGGGAAAAGCTGCGACAGGTGTGATGACATGGGCACTTGAATGTAAGGAGAGAAGGACCTTAAAGGCCAGGGGCAGGACTGCTCCCCACTACCCTCCATAAGCACTGCAGAAGGAAACGGGGCTCAGAAGGCTGTACGTGTGTACCGCAGTCAGTGGCTGTGGGGGTCAACTTTGTGTGTTCCCTGTGCTGTGGAATGCCGAGACAGTAAGAGTATCCTGGGCTTTTTGTGAAAGCGTTCTTAAGAGATTAGTATTTGGTCCAGTAGACTGAATAAAGATTGTCCTCACCCACGTAGATGTTGTCATCCAGTCTGTTCGTGTCCCAAATTGAGTAAAAAGGTGAATGAGGGAAATTTCTATATTTGGGAGCCAGAATGTCCATCTTCTGCCCTCAGATATCTGAGCCCAGATACATGACCTGGTGCTCAGGTCTCCACCAGAGAACTTGGGCCTTCTGTTCTCTGGGACTCACACCATCAGCTTCCCTAGCTCTGAGGCCTTCAGACACAGCATCCAGATGGTGGACTGTGGGGCTTAGTGGGGTGCATTAGTGCATGAGCTAATTCTCATCATCTGTCTTATCTGTCTATAAATCTTAATTGGTGTGCAGAAGTTACTTGGACATTTTAAAGGTAGAGGGAGGAAGCAAGGCAATACAGGAGCTCAGTAGAGACTGAGAATTAAAAATTCAGGGCTGGTCAGCAGGATGTGTTCCGGCCAGCTGTTTTTTGTAGTTAGGATTCAACTCATCCAGAAACCAGGCTACAGCTCTGCCCTAATAACGATTGCATTTCAAAAGAATGACTCTCTGAAGACAAGTACCAAATCATTTCACTACTCTGTGGACTATAACAACAAAGCAAAAACTGAAAAAACAAAACAGCATCAGACTCACAGAACCCAAAAGTGGACTAGTGGTTACCAAAGTGAAAGGTTGGGGAAGGTGGGTGGGAAGGAAGGAGTAAGGGAGTTTAGGGGTATTATAATTAGCACACATAACATAGGGGTGGGCATGGGGAAGGCAGTAGAGCACAGAGAAGACAAGTGGTGACTAAAACATCTTACTATGCTGATGGACAGTGACTGTAAAGGGGTATGTGGTGGGGACTTGATAAAAGGGGCAATGTAGTAACCACAATACTGCTCATGTGAAAACTGAGCATAAGATTGTATATCAATGATACCTAAATAAAAAAGCACAGGGTATTTTTAGGACAGTGAAACTATTCTGTTTGACCCCCTAGTGGTGCATACATGTCATTATATAAATGTCCAAACCATTATACAAGTCACAACACCGAGTCATTAATGTAAACTACAGACTTTGGGTGATGGGTCAATGTACATCCAATTGTACAAATGTACCACCATTCTGGTGGGGGATGTTGATAGTGGAGGAGGCTATGCATGTGTGTGGGCAAGTGGAATATGGTAACTCTGTACTTTCTCAAATTTTGTATGAACCCAAGAGAGCTCAAAATAATGAGAAAAAGCTAGTTGCAAAGAAAAAAAGAATGACTTGGGTTCTTGAAAAGGACTGAATTGTGTGATACATAATCACAATTGTAACCCCTTTTCAGTAAAGGCCCTAGCAAGAAGTACAAGGGCCAATGTGGGCTCACCTGCCTGCACCAGACCTTGAACCCTTGCCCCAAGAATTCCACTTCCTGGTTTGGAGAAATAAACAATTTAGACACAAAATTCCCAGTGGCCAATTTTTAGAGGAATCACAACTCATTCATGAGCTTTACCTTCAGGAAGTTTGCACAAAATAAATGAAGATATGAGGATAAATCTCATGCTTCAAGCAGGGGAAAGCAAAAGTGAACATTTCAAAATATCCACAGGGGAGAAGTAAACATTCTGAAAAACACATGAGTGTTCTGATCCACATACAAGGTCCTATCATTGAGAACTACCTCACCAAATCCTTGTCTGACTTAGATGAAGGTGGATAGCTCCTCCCTCGTCTAGTCAAACCTTTCTCATACAAAGAGAAGGGTAAGGACAGTATGAAATTTTCTGACTCAAGGATACCTGAAAACATTTGGAAAAGCTCACGTCAACATCAACCTTAAGCACAAGTCACCAACATTCTTATCCTAAACAAAATAGACCATACCTTCTAAATGGTTATAAACAGTAAAAGTCTGCAAAAGAATAAAGGAAATTATTCTCAGAGTCACAGCACAAGTACATGGACAAACATTTAAAAAAATTAGTCCTAAGATTTAAAAACGTTTAACCTTTCCAAAAC